AAAACTAGTAAATGTAGTCTCCTTTAAAAAAAGATGTATGTATTTATGTATTTGGCACAGGGTCTTACCATGCAGCTTGGACCCTGTCTCAGCATCCCCAGTGTTGGGATTACGGGCATGCACTACCACACAGTACCAGGGATCAAACCTGGGTCCTTGCGCTTGCCGGGCAGGTGCTGGGACCACTGAGCTATCCTCCTGGACCCTCTCCTTTTAATTTTTAAGTCCATGTTTGCAATACCTCATGATTACATCCATCATGGGGAATGGATAAGTGTAAATAGCACATCTTCGTTCTTTGTGTTCCTCGTCCTTTCCCCTCCTTCTCATCTCCCTCCATCTCTTGGAATAAATGTAATTTCTTACCAAGATAAGCGTTCAAAGTTTTTCATCTTATTTTTTTCTATCCTTTGGATTTTTTTTAGCTTCAATTATACTATTGAAAAGTACATTATGCCTTACTAAATGATTGACGCACCAGTTTATCACAAATATTTCTCTTGCATGTACAACCATTTATTTTTGTATTTGAATGTTGGTTATTAATGAGCATGATGATAGAGAAACATCCTCTTCATTCAGAAATTGTGGAATTTGTTTCCTTCCCATATGTGTTAGTTTTCTATCCTGGTGACAAAATACCTGAGATGATCAACTTAAAAAGAAATTGATTCCCTCTCTCAGTATGGATGTGAGACCCCTCAGTGGCTCCCTTCTGTGGGGCCCTGTAGGGAGGCAGAACGTTACTGTGGGGAGCGCATGGAGGAGCAGCCTTTCCTCACGCTGACCAGAAGCAGAGAGAGAAGTGAGGCCAGACAAATGTGCTCTTCCCAGGACTTCCTCCAAGCAGACCACCTCAAGTGCCCAGGGCTCCCATAGCTTCCGAGCTGCGCATCCATAGATGAATTAATCCAGTCAGCACTCTCCTGACACAGCACCTCCAGGCCCCAAGCCCTGAACGCTGCCAGGATGGGACCAAACCTCCAACACATGAGATTTGAGCGACATCTCAGATCCACACAGCAAGGCTGGGGAGATGGCTCAGTAGACTACGCGCTTGCTGGTAAGCGCAAAGGTCTGAGTTCAATCCCCTGTTCTGCCAAAAAACAAAAGCAAACAAACAAAAAAACCCCCATCAGATCCACATGGCAACACATCTCATCAAAGTTTTAAAACAAAAAAAAAGGAAGAATAATGACATATTTAGCTGCTATTTATAGACAAATGTGTCTTCATCTTTA